ACAAGCAGAAGAATTCTAGGTCAAGTGAATAGCAGTCTAACTCGAATCACCACAGCAGCTAGTACTGAAAAAAGCCATGACCAAGAGTAGGTTCTGAGCAGTCTCTGAGTAGTCTCTGCAGGAAGATTTGTAGCTCAGAACAGAACTAGCCTCATGCTAAAATGTTGTTTTTAGCTGCTGTCTTGTTGGCCGCCAACTCATAGGGACCCCAAGCACAACAAAATAAAATATTTCCCAATTCTGTTGTGATCCATAGGGTTTTCACTGGCTAATTTCTGGAAGTAGATTACTAGGCCCTTCTTCCTACTCCATCTTGGTCTGGAAGCTCAGCTGAAACCTACTCAGCATCACAGCAACACACAAGCCTCCAATGACCATGGTGGCAGCTCAAGAGGTGCACTCGCCAGGAATTGAACCTGGGTCTCCTGCATGGATGGAGAAAATTCTACCACTGAACCACCACTGCCTTCCACGCTAAAATACCCAAAACCAAATCCGTTGCTGTTGAGTCAATTCCAACTCATAGCAACCCTATAGGACACAGTAGAACTGCCCAATATGGTTTCCAAGGAGCAGCTGGTGGATTCAAACTGCCAACCTTTTGGTTAGCAGGGAAACACTTAACCACTGTGCCACCAGGGCTCCCTGTGCTAAAATAGTCATCAGTTAATCAAACACTCAGACTTTTAAAAGAAGGGGCAATAAAATCATAATTTTTGAGCATCTAAAACATAGCATAGAAAACAGCAGCAGTGCCAAAATACAGGCAGTCCCCAAGTTATAAACATCTGACTTACGTACAACCTGTAGTTATGAACCAACCCCCTGTAACGCCTATCAGGAAAAAAAAGGACTCAGTGTTGGGGCCCCAGGGCTCCCACAACGGGCCACACTTCTCCAGCATGTGCAGGTGCTACAGCTCGTCCTCGGCGGCCACTGGTAGGGCAGGGGGTGGGGGGTGGTCTGCGACACGGTGAACAGAGAGTTTACATGCGCCCACCTCCCTCTGAGCTTGGAAAGCGCCCGCCCCACTATCTGTGGGCCCACTGTCCACGCACATGGCAGGCCTGCAGGTGGTGGAGTATGGCGGCCAGGACGCGGGCGACACGCTCTACGTGTTCTCCTAGTACCACCGGTCAGTACACTGCACTGGGCACACGGCCGGCCTCTGCGGTGCCCCCTTACACAGCTCCACCCCACCCTATGCTGCAGGGCCTTCCATGCTGTGCAGCCCGGGGCCATCCCAGCACCTGTCTGGGCTTCTGCTTCCCTTACCTTACGCATGTGGGATTTCACCATTGCAGGAATTATTGGCCTTTTGGTGGCTGGAAGGGGGCGCAGGGGGGTGGGAGGGAAATCTCAGATTCCTGACCTCTGTATGTCCATATGGTTTGGGAGGGAGTCTGTGGAGAACTTCAGACTTGGGTTTCCCTAAGTGTCCTCTTCCCAACCCTTGGGCCCCAGGCTAGCTCTTAGCACATCCTGAGCAGCACCTTCTCCCTTGCACCCCAAGGCAGGGACCTCATAGTTGGTGTATGGGGTTGACAGGTCTGGTGAGGAGGTGGTGGAGAATGATATATCTGGCCCCAACACCATCCTACAAAAGTCCCCAAGCCCCAGCTCTCCCTGCCTCTGCTGAGGAGGGTTCAAGACCCAGCAGAAATGCTGCCCCGGTGGCACAACATAGATTTTTTTAGTTCAGAGTCTACAATAAAGTATCCAACTGGTCTCAAACATTTTACAGCATTTGCCCTGTAGGTATCTCTTCAACTGTGGAGAACATACAATGATTTGTAATAACAAACAGTTGCTACTTTTCAATCCACATCAAAACATTATTATTATTATTACTGTATTATTATGTTAAAGATGTTTTAGTGTCTCTGGAAGTGTTTCTTTAATGTTTTTTATGCATAAAAAGGCACACTATATACTATATACTGAGACAAACATCTGACTAACTTATGTTAGATAGGAACCATACCTACATACAAATTTGATTTAAAGAGACTTAAGAATGGAATGCGTCGTAATCCAGGGACTGCCTGTAATGTCATCATGTTGTCCTCAAGGGTGAAATGTTTAGTCAGCCAACTGGCTGACTGACAATGCCAAACAAAAATTTCTGACACATTCTTGCCTCTGAATCAACTCTGTTCACTTTCTGGCTTTCTTCAGGTATGAACAAAGTCAGGGTGAATAATTTCATAGATTCAAGATAATACCAAAAACTTACTTGCTTTTATGAAACTTAAATGAAAAAATTATCATCTTGTCTGATTTAGAAAACAAAAATTTAAATAGCATCCCTATGAAAAAAGTCAAAGATGAGAACTCAGGTCATCAAAAAAGGAACTCAGCCCCAGGCCTCAAGTCAAAGGAAAAAAAAAAAAAATCTAATGGGCCAAAAAGTTAGGGCATCCAAACAGAAAGATCAATTAATAACCAAATCTTTCAATCCAAAAAGAAAAGAGAATTTTCATCATTTCACCACCTAGGCCACTAAAGTGGTTTCTAAAGTCTACAATTTCTGGCAAGATCGTAAATGCCTGGTTTTGATCGTATGTCAACGGACACCAGATAGTTACTGAATAACTTCCACGTATGTGACAAAGTGTTTTCATGGTATGGGGAGAAAGTTCTCTAACTTGAAATCTACAGATCCCTGGATAGCACAAACAGTTAAGCACTTGACAACCAGTTGAAAGGTTAGTTGTTCAAACCCACCTAAAGGCACCTCAGAAGACAGGCCTGGCAATCTGCTTCCAAAAGGTCACCACCCTTGAAAATCTTACACAGCACTGCTACTCTGCACAGGTGGAGTCTCCATGAGTCTGGACTGACTTGAGCACAACCAACAACTTGAAATCTACCATGTTTTAAGTAATTCGCAAGCTGTTTTTTTTTTTTTTTTTTTTTTTTTGTTATTGTTCACCAAGCTATTTGCTCCGCAACTGCAAAGGCATTTAGGCTATTGATGGTACCCTTGGTCTTCTGGAATACAAAAGATGGGCAAATACACATGTTTTGGGTTATTTAATTCATTTTCATGTCCAGGTAGAAAGAAACAGAAGTGGCCACAAATCTTGTGTGAAATCTTCCGAAATGACCCAAGGGATCTACCTTGGCAACTTGATGCTTCCTTAGCTTTTGAAGGCCTGTGACCTTCTTTCTACAGCAAGTCATTCTGCATTAATCCTAAAACAGGAGCAAAACCCTCAGAGCACTGGGAACAAAGAACAGTGTTTCTGGATCATTATACGGGCCAGCTGCCCAGGGGCCCACTCGGAAAGGAGAATTTGGTTGCCAAACCCATCCATCTTACAGAAATTTTTTTGAGAGGAGGAAAGAAAAGAAATTAAATAATTCACAGATAACATCTTCACTCTCAACCCTGACCTCACATTAGTCCATTTTCATCTTTGAAGAAAGGAAGAGAAAAAGAAACTGAAAAGGGAAAGACTGAGGAGGGAGAGTAGAGAAGAGAACAAAGAGAAGTGAAATAAAGAACACTGTTAAAGTCTCTGGAGTCAGCTGGACCTGGGTTTGAAACCCAGCTCTGCAGCTTAACTACTCTGAGTTAGATCTTGGCCAGTCTAACTCCTATGTTCTACTCATCATGAACCTTGGTTTTCTCATCCACAAAATGGGGTTAATATCTTGCTGGGTTATTGTGATAAATAAAAAAATGTAAGTATGGAAAGCACTTCGCAAGCTGCCTGCCACGGAGAAGGTGGTTAATATAGAGTAGATAAAGAGGAGAAGGATGGGAAGAGAGGGAAGGGGAGAAGGGAGGAAGGCAGGAGAAAAAGGCTCATGGATTCAAAAAATAGCCTGAATTCACTCAAAACAAAAGCCTTCTTCTCTTTATAATTAATCTGAAAATACGAGCTGATCACCTGCTACCTAACTAACACTGCACTTCATTCAGAAATGCATGCTCCCTGACCCTCCTCCTCACCACCAAGATGCATACAATCCAGCTCAGGAAACATACATTAACACACAGGAAATACATTAAAAATAATCTAGATTGTACTAAATGGTTAAGTGTTCCACATGCAGTACAGAAGGCACGCGCTGCCGTGATTTGGAGAGGGAGCCCAGGAGGGGTGATGGGGGGGTAGTTTCCGAGAGGACAAGGTAGAAATGTGAGTGGATAGAAGAGAACGTGGGGCAGGCATGTTAGGGGAAGAAATAAAAACATGTCACATTTCAAGTTTTGTCATTGAGACATGGCAAGATGGGCAAGATGAGAGCAGGGATGCGTGGAGTGATGAGAGCCTGGCTCAGGAGGGGACAGGCAAAAGGCAGTGAGCACAAAGCCATCTGAAGCAAAAATGGAACCAATTTAGGAATTGAATACGAAAAATGAAAGAGAGGGATCTGCCTGTGTTGCTTTCAGATTTCTCGTTTCCTTAAAGTTGTGTGCTTTCCTTTCCACCTTCCTGGTATTTCTTAGGGGAAAGCGAAATCGTCCTCTTCCATTTCCCTGGAGTGCAGGTTGGCCGTCATTCTCCTTGATAACCAGACAGCACAGTGCCAGGTGTATGAATGCAGGCCCGGCTGAGTCCACAACCTAGCTGTGATTGTCACGGTACGTGCCTACTAGCTGTGCCACCTTGGGCAAGCAAACCAACCTCGCCGGGCCAGTCTCCTTATCTGTAAAAGGAGTGATTATAATACGCCTCTCATGGACCGCTGCGAGGAAAAGTGAGTTAATACATTTAATAAACTTCTTAATGAGAAGCACTTCAAACAAGGCCTGGCAAATAGAAAGAATTCCACAAAAGTGATATTATCATTATTATTACTATTGTATCTATTACTTTCAACTCTTTAGCTAGAATATACCCACAGAAAGCTCAAAGTATTATCTCTTGCATGACTGAGGAGATATCAAAGAGAAACCCAAATTATCCTAAAACTACTGCAACAGTGATAACCCCAGTGCAAGACCCAGACAATCAAGTGTCACACAGGAGAATGTGAGCCAATACCTGGCCTGATGAATGGCCTCCATCCACTCTTTACCATCCTGCTCCTCCTCACAGCGCAGCTCCAGTGGTTTCTGACCATCATGGCCAAAAAGGACAGTAAAGTAATACTGGAAAGAAAAACACACACAAAAAGTTTATTTTTATTTTTCAAGAGTACCAAAATACCAATATGGTATTTACCTACAAAGGGTATTTGTTTACAAAATGCATCAGCATTATGTAAATCATATTTCAAAATGTAATACCATTGCAAGTGCAATGGCAATAACTTTGCATCTAGAAGTTATAATGGGCTGCATATTAGCACCCCTTAGTAAGGGTTAACCTACAAGCCCACTATAATCTATATTTTTTATACAAGCACAGAAAAGAACATTGCAGAAGTCTGACTATCTATATAAATTAAAGTTAGCATGATATCTTCCAAAAGTCTTCCCTTTCTGGGTATTATAAAGCTATAGGAATACACAAGTCTATACCACTGCACTGGCTAATATTTTCTTGTCTGTTCTAGGAAGCAAAATGCCTATACTGGCACAGCCCAAGTGCTGCCATTTGCCTCCCCTGCAACCTTAGCTCACTCATCTATGCCAAGAAATGTGGACAACAGCTACCTGTCCATCTGACTAGAAGATAATTATACATCCCCATTCCAAAGAAAGGTGATCCAACAAAATGCAGAAATTATCAAAAAATATCAGTTATATCACACACAATTAAAATCTTCTTGAAGATAATTCAAAAACAGTTGCAGCAGTACATCGACAGGGAACTGCCAGAAATTCAAGCCATATTCAGAAGAGAATGTGCAATGAGGGATATCACTGCTGATATCAGGTGGATCTTGGCTGAAAGCAGAGAATAACAGAAAGATATTTAACTGTATTTTACTGACTATGCAAAGGCATTCAACTGTGTGGATCATAACAAATTATGCATAACACTGCAAAGAACGGCAATTCCAGAGCACTTAATTGTGCCCGTGCGGAACCTGTACATAGACCAAGAGGCAGTCGTTCAAACAGGACAGGAAGATACTGCATAGTTTAAAATCATAGCTTAAAATCAAGAAAGGCGTGCGTCAGGATCGCATCCTTTCACCCTGCTTATTCAATCTGTATGCTGAGCAAATAATCCAAGAAGCTGGACTATATGAAGAAGAATGTAGCATCAGGATTAGTGGAAGACTAATTAATAACCTGTGATACGCAGATGACACAGCCTTGCTTGCTGAAAGTGAAGAGGATTTGAAGCACTTACTGATGAAGATCATACAGCCTTCAGTATGGATTACATCACATCATAAAGAAAACAAAAATCCTCACAACTGGACCAATAAGCAACATCATGATAAATGGAGAAAAGATTGAAGTTGTCAAGGATTTCATTTTACTTGGATTCATAATCAATGCCCATGAAAGCAGCAGTCAGGAAATCCAATGACGTATTCCATTGGGCAAATCTGCTGCAAAAAAACCTCTTTAAAGTGTTCAAACGCAAAGATGTCACTTTGAAGACTAAGGTGTGCCTGACTCAAGCCATGAGATTTTCAATCACCTCATACGCATGCAAAAGCTGTACAATGAATAAGGCAGACAGAAGAAGAATTGACACTTTTGAATTACGGTATTGGTGAAAAATATTGAATATACCATGGACTGCCAGAAGAATGAAAAAATCTGTCCTGGAAGAAGTACAGCCAGAATGTGCCTTAGAAGCAAAGATGGTGAGACTTCATCTCACGTACTTTGGACGTGTTATTAGGAGGGACCAGTCCCTGGAGAAAGACATAATGCTTGGTCAAGTAGAGGGTCAGCGAAAAAGAGGAAGACCTTCAACGAGATAAACTGATACAGTGGCTGCAACAACAGGCTCAAACACAGCAACAATTGTGAGGATGGCGAAGGACTGAACAGTGTTTCGTTCTGTTGTATATACGGTCGCTATGAGTAGTAACTGACTTGACGGCACCTAACAAAAATTCTCCGTTTGAACAGTGCTTTGTATTTTTACTTAGCATTGCCCAGCTCGAGCCATATTATTCCTCACTAAAGCTCCTTTTCTTTCACTCCTAACAGAGTATGAGATTTTCTTCATTGACAAGAGCCTTTTCTCTTTGCTAATCTTGCTTTGTATCCTTTCACTGTAATAAATCATAGCTGGGAGTACAACTAGATGCTAAGTCCTGTGAGTCCTCCTAGTGAGTCACAGAACCTGGGAGTGGTCTTGGGGGCCCCCGATAAAGGAAGTCACTATGAAAGATGCAATTATGAGAATAAGAACAGAAGTGAACAAAATAGAAAACGAAGATAAAATAGAAAGGATCTGTAATACCAAAAATTAGTTTTATTTATGACAAAACATTGAAAAGAAATGGGCACTTTCCACGAAAATTATAACTTGCCAAAATTTACTCAAAGAGAAATAGAAATCCAAAACAGACCAAAAATCATTTTTAACAATTGAAAAAATATTTTTTAAACTTACAGACTATAGAGAGCCTCTCAGTCCAGACAGTTTTACCGGTGGGTTATACGAAACATTGAAAGAACAGATGTTTCTAACCCTATACAGACTCTTCCAGAGAGTAAAGAGAGAATGCTCCCCAACTCTTTTTGTAGAGCTTGTGACCAGAGAACTTTTTATTATATAAGAGTGACCAGAAAATACATCAGGCCTGCCCAAGACTTCACTGGGGGCATGAAAAGAACTAGCCCCCCAGAGCTGGTCTGAAAAGAAGAACAGAAAACAAAAATAAATTTCTTTCTGTTGTCCCTCCTCATCCCCGGTCCTGTTGTGTGACAGTTATGTACTCATTTTCTTCAAATGAATTTAAAACTTTTGGGTCAAAAATTTTATTAATCTCTAGCCCTTGAGGCAAGATTTTTCAGCACAATTTTACCAAAGGAAAACACTGGCCAAGAGACTTACCAGGTTTCCTGCACAAAAAGTCATCAGTGTGTTGAGGACTCTGGGCAATGGTTGTAGGATAATCCACCCTTCCTCCCCACAGACCGTCCTGAGCCCCATCAATGACAACTGTCTTTAGTTCTTGACCTCATATCCACCCAGAGGACTAAATGCTTTAAACTAGGGGGAAATGGCTTAATGAAAAGGCCACTGAGGATGGAAGAATTGAGTTTAGCATTGTATTCAATAAAGCTCAATTAAAATTTGAGAGGGAAAGAGTCGAAATTCAGTAACAAATAATGGTTTTAAGGGCAATCCTATAACAGATGGCATTTCAGTAACTGCCAGCTACCATCTAAGCCCAAATATCCAAGCTGGGGAGAGAAAACAACGAACCAGCCAATCTCTCTAACGGCTTCCACAGGCACCACAACAGCAGGTGCTGCTTGGGAACTCAGTTAAAAGCCGCTTTTAAAAGACAGGTAATTACATTAGCAGAGTACAGTCATCCTTCAGTATCCACAGGGGATTGGTTCCAGAACCACCACCACCCCCCCGCCCCCCGCCATGGATACCAAAATCCACGAGTAGTATTTGCATATAACCTCCCATATGCTTTAAATCATCTCTAGATTACTTATAATACCTAATACAATGTAAATACTATGTAAACAGTTGTTATACAGTACTGTGTTGTTTAAGCAAACAATGCTCAAACAATGAGTGCTGGAGAGAGACTGAGGAGCTGTGAAATGGTGGGAGGCTACAGCAGGGTATGCCTACACATCACTTCATTCGCATACATTCAATGTAGTGCTCCGCGCACAGCAAATTCAAGGTTTGTTTTTTAGAACTTTTGTTTTTCCTAATATTTTTGGCTGGTTGAATCCACAGATTTGGAACCTCCAGATACAGAGGGCCGTACATTCAAAGGTTAAACCATGTCTCAGGCATAGCAATGATGGAAAGAAAGTGTTATGAGGAGTACACTTTACGTGTCCTGGAGTTTATTTAACAAATTCAGCTCAACCACAAAAAAAAAAAACACTGCGCCTCTGTGTGTTCCTGAAAATTACTTCTTCTCGGACACACATCAAAAAGTTTTCTTTGTATATTCTGGCCTTGCTCTGAATAGAACTCAATAGAACATGGATCTATGTCTGGGACCTGGGGGTTTAGAGGTCACCTTGGGTATTAGGAGTAGCAGTAGACACCACTGATGATATTCTGTGACTCTGATCTGTCCCACTGAAGGAACCTGGAGGAGAAGTTCCAATGTATGGGGTCATGATGAAGTGCCAGGAAGAATTTAAAAAGAGTGATGACCTTGACCTTGATTATGTCTTTAAATACTACAACTACAGTGACAGGGAGTTTCTCTTCTTTTCTCCACCTGGGTAGTCTCACCTGTTCCCAAATCTACTTCTCCAGCCAGAATCTCTCCTAGGCATCAGCCCATATTTTTACTATTAGACAGCATTTCAATCATGTCCAAAACTGAACTCACTGTCTTCCTTCCCTCTCCCCACCCCCAATACCCCTCCTCCCACCCACTGGCCCCACAACTATTCCTTCTTCTCTCGTCTTTTCTTTGTTAAGTGTATCTTTATCCAACAGTTGCCCCAACTAAGAACCCCGAAGTCACCCTCATCTTCTCCCTTCTTATCAGCCTCATCCATTTGGTTTTGCCAGTGTTCCCTCCTGGGAATCTCTTGAATCTGACCCCTCCTCCCAAACCTCGGGGCCACTGCCTTAGTTCTGGCTTTTGTTATCTTTCACTTAGACTACTATAACAGCATAATCACTGGGATAACAAATGTAACAGTTCTGCACTACTTGCCAATTTATGTTCCTTCACCTTATAGCTGGTCTCTCTCTCCCCTTGTATCCTACCTGTCATTACAGCCCAAAGTGGGGATTAATGGCCCCTCAGGGAGGACAGGATGACCTGGGGGAGGTCCCAGTGAGTCAGGAGAACAATGGAGATGTTGACCCTTTCAGAGGAGGTGAGAGGAAATAAGTGGCCATGGTAGATAGAGAAAGGCAGGAAGAGGTAGAGAGAGACATGTGTTTCAGCTAAAATCCCAGAGAAGGGTAAGAGGTTAACAAGCCAAGGGGCTTCTGTACTACTTTTCCTTTGGGACCCTAGAGGATGTCATCTCAGAGTGTCCTGTTACCCCGGTTCCTCCCTCATGTC